GCAGGAGCTCAGGCTCCCTATCTGTGACAGCTGCGGAAGTTGCAGAGGCTCCCTTGCCTCAACTGTCACGAAGTTGCAGAGGCTCAAGCCCCAAAACTGCGACAGCAATTGGAGTTGCAAACTCGACACGGAAGAAACTGCTAAAGCACAGGTGGTCGGACAGTACGAAAATGCTGTAAATACCGTGAAAAACGCAGGTGCTGCCAAGAAGGTTTTAGCACCCCGACAAACTGAAGCGCAACATCTTATAAACATCAAAACAGAGATGCCAGCTGGGAGGAGCTCGCCAACACCCTTAACGTGCAGACCTCGGCGTGGTGTGGAGATATTGTTCGGGGTGTCCGCGAAACAGTGTCGTGATCATCACCCGAAAGCTTCCCCCCATTCAATTTCGAGTTTTCGCCGACATCCCTCCGCAGGGGCAAGATGACCAAGATTGCTTGGCAATCTTGCTCCGCTCCGCCGGACCGAGATGACCAACATTGCCAAGACGGTTCCGCACAATAATTGTTCTATCTAACCTCCGGGCACAATGTACTACTACTACTCCTCCTCCTCCTCCTCCTCCCCTCCTCCTCCTCCTCCTCCTGCTGCTGGTGCTGCTGCTGCTGCTGCTGCTGCTGCTGCTGCGACAGTGCACTGGCGGAAGCCACCGCAGTAGAAGCAGTTGTCCTAGCAGTCCTAGTAGTATAGCCGTCGTCGTAGTATTATATTAATAGAAGGAAAAATGCCTGCAGCAGTTCTTGTTGTTGTCAAAACAGGTCCCAACCATCTTTTCCAACAGCGACTAGAATACAAACCTCGAAGCGAGTAGGACAAGAAGAAAAGCCAAACAAGCGCGGATTTGGATGACAGTCGTCATCAAGTCACCTTGTAGAAAGAAAGGCCGGAGTTGACGGTGATGCAAACAGGGTCAAAGCACAAAACACCTTGCACAGCCGCAGCACCAGCAGCGCAAAGAGCCGCAAAGTCATTTTGTCGCAAAAGTGGTGGGTAGCCGAACAAGCAGATGATTCGACTTTCGCAAGCCGACGGTTCCGTAGATGGCCACAGGTTTCTTAGTTACAGCTTCTCAAATGCTATCGTTCCATGTTGATCCATGCCGGCCCCGGCAATGATGTGCACAGCATTGGTGCTTATGCTTTAAAAGAGTACCCCAGTCCACTGACTGCAGTAGAATTAGAAAAAGCAGGTCTTCAGATATGTGCACGATTGGGGGAGTAATTTCTCAAGAATCGTGAACTTGCGAACGAGACAAAGACAGCCTGTTTTTTGTGAGGGAAAAGCCTGGCAACAGCAAAAAACAGGATGAATCCAGGTAGAAAGCTGGTGGCTGAAAGACATGATGCAGCAGTGAGCAAGCCAACTGCCACAGCTGCAGCCGAAACATCCAAGAAGGAAAGGGCTACAACCCGCAGAATCCTGCCTGGACAAGTCCGAGCTTGCACTTCCGATTTCCTTTTTCTGGAGCTCCATCTCTTGGCGCAGCGTCTCTCCTTACCAGGAAACATGCCTTCTGTCTTAAATCGCTCGCATGGCCATCGCACGCTACGAGCATCACAACACCTGACAGGCCGCAGGTCAACGGCAGCACTTGCCAAACCAAAGGCAGGGTTGGTCCCGGCTGCTTTGAACGAGCATTACTCAAACTGCGCACTGGTTTTCGGAGTTCTCCTCCAAAGTGAATTGAGGTCTATGT